TTCTTCTTCTTCTTCTTCTTCTTCTTCTTCTTCTTCTTCATCTTTCATTCTTCCTTCCTGTGGTACTTCCGAATCAACCCAGGACCTTTATGCTGAGCTACAGCCCTTTCCTTATTTTTAAATTTTTCTCCTTTAGAGAAAGCCTCCCTAAGTAATTGAGTTGCCCAGGCTGCCCTCAAATTTGGCATCATCCTGCTTTGACTTTGCAGAGTGCTACTATTATGGGTGTATGCGCCATGGAACCTGAATACATTTGCTTTTGAAACCATTCCATGTGACCTGAATGTGTAGGCATGGTGGTCATACATGGGGCCACTACACACACCCCTCACCCTTTCTCTCCACCTTGTAGTGCAGCTCTGCACAGCCCCTCCCTTCTCTGCACATTGGCCCCCACAAGGGCGGATCCTTCCAACCCAGAGCCACTGTCTGATGGTGCTAGGTATCTCTTGCCTTGCTCTCCTGGCTCCTTCTCACCTAGACTGCAGCCCCACGGGTAGGACCTGCTCTCCCTGCTTCCTGACTGCATCTGTGAACATGCATATCTGTTGCAGAAATGAGCCCAATCCCAAAGCAGTCATGTGATTGCTGAGTGAATCTGCAAATCCATTCCTGGTAACTTATTCTTGAGTTTGCTGTGGCAGAAGTGGGTATGTATCTCTTGTGGCAAGTAACTTGTCCGTGATTTTGTTTGCTCATCCATTATGAGTACATACCAATACATTCCTCTGGGGATAATAATCATAATATGGTAATATTTTTGCTACACTCTCTCTTCCTTGGAGGACAGCCCTCTAATCACGAGCATGGATCCTCAACCTATTCAAAGTACCCCAAGATTTCATCATCCTTCACTTGCAGCCAGGGAGCTCCCCAAGCTCCAGGCTGCAGCATCTTACCTTGAAGCTGTGGCCTGCGATGAAGGGCATCCTGACAGGCAGGCTTTTCTCCACTGACCCCCAGGCACCCTTGATCTTAGAGTTTCGGACCACAGTCTTTTCACTGAGTCGAGGGTTCTGGTGAAAGGCGATGTTTGTCCCAGCGCACAGGTTGATATGGAACCTGGAGAGGGCAAAAGACATGGACTCTCTCTGTCTCCCAGGTGTGGGCCTCATCCCCTTCCCCTGATTTCCAGGCATCAGAGAGCCCTGCGGACCCTGTCTTACCTCTCAGCATTGGGTAGCAGAGTGCAGGATATGATGACCACCCTGGATGGCTGCAGCCCACCCGGGATTGAGGTGAAGAAAGGAATTGGCTGCTGGGAGGAACGGGACAGGTCAGCCGCCTACAGCAGAGAGCAGCCTGGCACTGGGGAATCCTGTACTGATTATCCTGGACTGGGATACCTGCTGAGTCTAAACCATGCCTGGCAGTACTGCAACTTCCAAAGGAAGTTAGACCATCTTTCCTTGGTTCCTTAAACGCCAAGAGAAGTCTTCCCAGTGCTCCCCATGCAGGGAGCCTTCACTGTCATGGGAGGAACTCTGGGAAGACTCTAAAGCAGTTTGGGAGACAAGGGACGACCATACAACTAGCTGGTGCTCAAAGGACCATTTTAAAGTTGAAAGCTTCTTTCAAAATTATTCTCATTTTCATGAGTACTTTTAAAATTTCATCTTGATAAAGGACCTTTTTTAATTATGTAAGTCAGAGGGTCACCGCCAGTTGACACTTCCACCACTCTGCCATTCCAAGTGCAATCCCCCAGTGCCACCAACACACCACTTACATAAAATGTGACTTTTGCTTCAGATTCCTGTGGAAAGACACAAAACAATTTAATGTGGGAGTGTTATGTGCCCATGCGCATGTACGTGCATGTGCCAAACACACACACACACACACACACACACACACACACACACCTTCATTTTCGAATAGTTGCTCTTATATGAATGATGTTGAGAGGGCTCAGCCTTGGGTGTCTCCTGGTACCTTAGTTGTTACAGCAATCTTTCTGTGTCTTCCTGCTCTGTCCCTGGATCCCCTCACCTGCTTTTCAGCAGCACCGTACTGTAAGGAAGGCATCCTTGCCCCCTGGCACCCAAGTTTGAAAACAACCACACTGCAATCCAATCCCTATACCCTAGCAATATGACCCAAACTGGAAAAGAGTTTGCAGGACATCAGAAGGCTGCCAAGAAGCCCCTAGATGGCCACACTGAGGCCCAGGTGTTATCACAACAGTCCTAGTAAGAGAAGTGGCACAATCAAGGACAAAGGAGAGGATATGACACCAGAAGCAAGGTACTGTTGACTCCTTATCTTTTCTTTGTACCTTGGGTGGTGCTCCAGATATAATACCCAGCAGGCATTTTGCTCTCAGCTACACTCCAGCCCCAAGAAGCTGCTGTCCTTAGACACAGAGGGAGAAGCCTGAGCCAATGCAGGCAGGCCTGAAAGCAGCTGCAAGGGAAACAGAAAAGACTCTCCCTGCAGCCTCGATAGAGGATAGAGATGAACCGATGGTGCCTTTAATTTCTTTTCTTTGTGGTACACGACATTAAATCCAGTCTTCTAAGCACTTCCCAGCCATTGAAGACATTGAGTTGTGCAAGTCAGAGGATCACCACCAGCTGTCATTCCCCACCCTCCCGGCGTTCCAAATGAAATCTCCACCACCACCCACGCACCCCTCACCTTAGTTTCGGGTTCAGGTTCAGGTTCCTGTGGAAAAGAGACCAAGAAATTTAAAGTGGAGCATTATGTGCATACACACACACACACACACACACACACACACACACACACACACACACTTTCTGGAGGGATGCTTCTATCTGAATGAGGTTGAGTGGTTTCCACCCTGGGTTTCTCCTGGTAACCTTGCTGTCTTACCAATTTTTCTGGATCTTCCTGGATCCCATCACCTGCCTCCCAGCAACTCTGTGCTGCAAGGAAGGCACTGAAGCCCAATTGCACCCACATCCCCAGACCCCTGAAATTACAAGCTCTCTCTCTCACCAAATTCCTGAAACTATGAATGTGACCTAAATCATAGTTGGGTCAGCAGATGTGACTAAATGCAGTATCTCAGGCTGGCAAGATGGGCTCCAGGTGACCAACAGAGGTTCAGCTGGATCCCATGTAATCACAATGGTCCTTGCAGGAGACAGGTGGCCCACAGGAAGGACACCACTACTAAGCATCCCTGAGCAGGATTTAAATTAAGCAATCATCTTTCCATGTTTACTTGGGATACTGTTCAAAGCCTGCAATCCTTGTCTGGAGATTGAAGGGGTGGACTCATAGGAAGTGAATCTGTGTGACTCACTAATCCCTACTAAGGCCTGTAATGGTGGGTGAAGCTGGAAAGCCTCAAAGGACAAGACAAGGTCACAGAGAAGGACACCTGATGAGGCTCACCCCTAGAGACCTGCCAATCAGACTGGCCACCTACCACCAATCTGTGGAAACCTTTTGACTGACTTGATGACTCTGCTCTCAGTATCCTATATCTAACACCTATTTCAGGAGTAGAGGATTGGATTTATGCTTCTAATCCACCATTACTTAGACTCATTACTAGACAGATTCTCCACCTGAGATTTATCATGGACCAGATAGGACTGGGCCTAAGTTAGATAATAGGATTTTATTTTTTCCAAGTTCTTATAAGAGATTTCTCCTAGTTGATGTACAAAAAAAAAAAAATCTGACCATTCTTTTTATAATTACAAGTTAAGAAATACCCATACTCCAACCTGTCACCTGGAACCTATGAATGTGACCTTTAAAAATTGTTTAAAAATTATTATAATTCAATTTGGCAAAAATCTATTTGAGCACATTCAGATGTTGTAAGCAGGTTGTGTGTATATGCTATTTGTTCTGTGAATAGGTTTTTTATTTGAGATCAACAATTTTTTTTCTCTTTTTTCCTTTCCTCTTTCCTTTTGGATCATTTGAACGTAATTTAAATTCATTTATAGACTTAAAAGTCATGCTTCTACCTGGGTTTCTACCTGATCAATATATCAAAATTGGTTTTCATATAAGTCATCAGAAATTTGTTATGATAACTAAATGGGGACCCTTTGGGCTTGGAAAACCATTGATCTTGTCTCCCTTTGTTGAATAAAGGACAAGTTGCCTGATAAAAATTATTCCAACCTTTCTTCATTAATTGGAAGACCCAATGATCTTAATAACCTTGTGGGAGGCACCCCAGCAGATGTTGTTAAACACATTTTTCTTTTCTTTTCTGTTTTTTTTTTTTTTTTGGTGGACCAAGGATCAAACTCAGAACCTTGTGCTTTGCAGGGCAAGCACTTATTCCACGGAGCTATCTCCCCAGCCCAAACACATATTATTGTGATATGCTTACATTACTCATTGTCAAAGGTAAATTTTCAAAACAAAAGACAGTCAGATTTTCTGATCAAAAGATACTATGGGTACAAAACTAAATTAAGGGGCTGGCGAGATAGCTCAGAGGACTAAGGGTCTGCTTAGGCAAGCACTGGGGCCTGGATTTGATCTCCAGCACCACATGCTGAGACAGGCCCATCCCCTAGCCTGCTGAGACGAGGTGTGATGGTGCATAATCCCAGTGCTGGTGGGGCTGAAAACAGGAGGATCACTACAAGTCAGAGATGGGTCGTGAGACCCTGTACCAAATACATTAAAAAACTAAATTAATAAACCAAGTAGTGATAATTTATTACTGCTAATTTCATGATGTACTACTAAAGAAGGCTTTGGAGCCAGAATGACATCCTTTTCCCCAGTCCCCCAAGTTCGGAAATATCCACACTCCGACCCGTCACCTGGAGCCTGTGAATGTCACCGAAACCAGAAAAGGGTTGCAGATATGACAAATTGAAGGATCCAGGCTGGCGAGATGGGCCTCAGGTGGCCAGACTAAGGCCCAGGCGGGTCCCGTGTAATCATAACAGCCCTTGTACAAGAGAGGCGGCGCAGTTAAGGTCAATGGAAAGCATATGTCAACAGAAACAAGAAGATGCTGGCTTTTTATGTTTTATTTGTATTTTGTGTGGAGTTTGAATAGAATACCCAGCAGGCATTTTATTCTCAGCTATAGCCCCAGCCCCACGAAGCTGCAAACAAAACAGAGTACAACCCCTGTTTCCCTCCACAGAAATAAATCTGTGGAGCCTTTATTTCTTCTCTGTGTTGTACAGTGTATCACACCTAGAGTCTTCTTGCACTTGTTCTACCACTGAATTAAACCCCAGCCTTTCAACACGTTCCTCTAGGCCTCTGCCTAGCACAGCTCTAACATAGTATATGGCAGTTCATGTTGTTTTATGCTTGGATGACCAAGGCTGACATGGAATTTGGAGGTGTGAAGGCCAGTGAAAGAGCTTGTCCCCAAACAATGGGACTCTCTTTGCCTCTCTTTGTATAGAAGTGGAGTTTTTCTGGCCCCACGGTGAGTCCTGGGCCAGCTCCCTGTGCCAGCATGTCTTGTATTGGACCTTTCCACATCCTGGGCCTCCTTCCACTTGGTTGGACATTAATACTACCTCTCTTTCTTGTGAAAAATCTCTGGCTAAGCTGTGTACTCAATCAGAGAGCTATTTGCATTGACACAAATCAATACCTCAGAGGGGTCTACACTTGTTCCCTGCTCCTGGTCGTGCCTAAGGATCCATTTTTCTCCTCGTCTCACATGGTTGTACAGCAAGCAGAGCTGACCCTTACAGCCAAAGTGTAGTGTCCTCTTCTGGTGGCCTTGTGACCAGGAGGGCACCTAGACCAGGCACTGGCAGTGGCAACCTCAGCCTGGTTGAACATGGCTGCTTACAGTGTCTGGCCCTGCAGGTGTTGCAACTCTGGTGCCTGTGTTGTCTTCTATTCTTTCATAACAACTTTTGCCATTGTCACTGGCACTTTTAAACATGAGGCCACTCCAGCACAGAAAGACATCTGAGGTGCACAGAGCCCCACAAGCCTTCAGTGAGACAGCTTGGTTCTGTCCCCCAGAACTCATGCTTTTATTCCCCAACTAGGATACCCCATGGTGTAGCAAAGAACATGCTTATTTTTGCCTGCCCCGCACATGACCTTCCCAGGGCATGCTTGCTGTGGGCCCAGCTTCATCTCTGGCCTGTGGAGGAGGCTTGCTATGGCTGGGATTTGGGTGCCCAAGCCAGGCGGTGGCCTCAGTAGCTCAGCCATATTGTGTGATTTTCAGAGCCAGTGTAGGCCCACTGTCCCCACACAGGTCCCATCTAGATCTGTCTAGCCTCCTTCACCTCTTTCAAGCAGGTTCCACACAGGATCAATGGCAGTGCTGAGGGGCCTGGACCCCTGGGGCAGGTGTCAGGAGGGTCAGTGCAAGAGGACCCCCGACTTGAGGGAGCTCCACTCATAGCCAAGCTGCTAGCCCACTCTCAGGCCCTGCAACCCCTCAGCTCATGCCCTATCTGGGCCAGGAACTCATTCACAATGACCCAGGGAGGGCCTGGGACCAGGCTACCAATTTCCTGTTTTTACACAATGTTGATCTCTCTGTGGACACCCCTCTTCTGGGGGTAAATACAGGTTTCTTCCTTTAGTTTTCCATTGTAGGACAGTTGGCAAGTGCCTCCTCCTCAGAGCATCATTTTATTTGTATAAGAGGAGGGGATAAGAAGTCCAACTGGGCTTAACCCCTGCCTCCAGAGGACAGGTATAAATGGGGGAAGTCTTCTCTGCACTCCACCCGTCAGGCACAGGCCTAATCTTTCCTCACTTCTTAGCCCACCCCATGCAGACATCCAGGGGCAGCGGTGCCTGCTGGGCTCCAGCCCATTCCACAGGACACAGACATCTCAGAGGTCTTCCGCATTTCCCCAGAACTGCTGATAATGCCCAACACTCCCAAAGCACCTATATTCACACACATGAGATGTGCTACATGGCCCAATCTCTCTCCTATGCTGGGAGATGGGCTTGAGTATTATGCCCATTAGACAAATGTGGAAACTGAGGCCCAAAGAGGTAAATATATCCTGATTGGAGCCCCAGAGACCATCTCCTCAGAAGGTGCATTTAGTATCATGAAGGTGTGTCGTGCTCCCATATGCCTGTTTACATCTTTATACGAACTGTTACCTTTGAAGCTGATACCTGATGTGTCTTTCGAGAATACCTAGGATAGAGCTGGCATCCCGAGTGGGGTTACCAATTGAGAGTCAAATGTCTGAACTGGCAACTGAATTGGATTACTATCCCTAGGGCCCAAGAGGCTGCCTTGGACGAGGACATCATGGAAAAGAAGCCGCATCCAGATGACCTCCTCTGGCCTTCCCACCCTCCTCGGGCTCTCGCTGCCATTCCCCCACCACCACTCCCTGCCACCAAGTCATTTCCTCAGTGACCCAGAGCTGATCCTCCCTGGCTGTGTAGCCAGCTCAGGCTGGGCCAGCCCACAACTCACCTGGGCAGGCTGGCTTTGGGAGATGCCCATCTTTCCACAGCCTCTGTGTCAGCTGTTGCTTTTCACAGCAACTGAGCCATCACCACACGGAGATGGACTTTTCATGGAAACAAATGCCAGGGCAATTTGGCTGGTGCTCAACAGGGAGGAGCCAGGATCACAGGAAGTGGA